TCCACCCACCTCTCTTTAGCAGCTCTAAAACGTCTCAAGAATTTCCTCTTTTCTCACCAATTGATAGATGTGTGGCGCCTACAACATCCCTCAACTCGTGACTACACATTCTTCTCGCCCTTGCATCAAAGTTATGCCCGCATAGATTATTTTTTCATGCACCATAGCCATTGGCCAGGATCCGCGACGCAGAGGTGGGCAATATCACCCGTCCTACTGACCTTAGCTCTGGACGATCTATCGCCCGGTCCCTGGCAGTGGAGGTTGAATGATACCCTGCTCCAGGAGCCTGAATTTGCTGACTCATTGGAGCAGAGCCTCTCCTTGTTCTTTTCTGAGAACTCCACACCAGATATCTCCCCATACATGGTATGGGAGGCACATAAGGCGACTGTCAGGGGCCTGCTGATTGCGCGGGGCTCCCAGCTTAAAAAACAGCGCTTAGAAGATATTGCCTCCCTTTTAACGAGGATCCACTCTCTGGAAATACGTCACAAACTTACAGCAGACGCGATCATTAGCGCACAGCTTTGCTCAGTGAGGGAACAACTTCGCTCCTTGTGTACTTTTAAAAGCGAAAGCATCTCTGCTCAAATGTCGCCGTACCTTTTAAGAGTACGGCAACCAGTGTGGGAAATATCTTGCGAGAGCGGTTTGCAAACAGCCAGCCCGGACATTTGTCCCCTTTATCACTTCTCCCGCAGGTTTTAAACGCTCACTCCCATTGGAGATAGCATAAACTTTTGCGGATTACTACGGAACTCTGTATAATCTTACGCACCCCACCTCCCCATGTGGAGACCCCTCGCGTTTGACCCGCATGAAGCAATATATCCAGCGATCGGAAATTCCCTCCCTCCTACCAGCAACCAGCTCATTACTGGAAGCCCCAATATCTGTACTAGAATTAGAACAAGGTATTAAACTTACTCAAACTAGTAAAGCCCCGGGCCCGGACGGCTTCTCCTTACTGTATTACAAACGCTTCCGCCCGATTCTCTCCGAGCCTTTTTTGGGAGCACTTAACTCACTACAAATTGGCAGTACACACACCCTCCCCCCCCTCCCCCCCATCCGGAATCTCTCATGGCACACATTACGGTCATCCCAAAAGAAGGTAGAGACCCTTCCCTTTGTCCTAGCTATAGGCCGATATCCCTACTCATTACTGATATCAAACTCTTTGCTAAAATCCTATACCTCCGTCTGGTTCCCCATATAGGAGAGCTTATACACCTAGACCAAAGGGGCTTTATACCTACCAGGGAAGTGAGGGATAACACCACACGAGCGCTGGGGGTGCTCCACTCGGCCGCCAAACCATGTGTGTTTTTATACACAGACACAGAGAAGGCGTTCGACCGGGTAGACTGGGAGTTCCTCCGGCTCACCCTTGAGGCGATCGGAGTGGGACCCTGTATGCGCTCTTGGATTAACTCCCTTTACTCCCATCCGGCTGCCTGAGTACGGGTCAACGGCGCTCTTTCCCCTTCATTCCCCATATGTAAATGGCACACGCCAGGGTTGCCTCCTTTCCCCAGTCCTTTTTGTATTGTCCCTAGAGCCTTTCCTACGTACTGTCCGAGCTAACCCAGATTTCCGAGGTGTGATGGAGGGGACTAACCATCACAAAATCGCAGCCTTCGCGGATGACCTTTTTTTCTTGTCCTCCCCAGATATATCTATTCCTGCCCTTCTCCAGGAGTTTGGTATTTATGGGGACCTCTCAAATTTTAGAATAAACTCCCATAAATCTGAGGCACTCCATGTATCCCTTGTGGGACCATGCCTCCAGAGAGTTCTCCACAACTTTCCCTTGAAATGGGCACCGTCCGCGATTAAATATCTGGGTATACTTCTACCCAAAGATATATCCCAAACATTCACGTTGAACTTCCCTCCGCTTCTGAGGCACATAACTGCAGACCTTGAGGCGTGAACCACAAATACCTTCTCTTGGATGGGAAGATGTAACATACTAAAGCAGTCTATCCTTCCTAAAGCAGTCTATCCTTCCTAGACTACTCTACCCCCTTCAAGCCCTCCCGATTCTCATCCCCACACCTTTTTTTCGTAAAATTCGAAAGCTTTTCACGGGGGTTTGTCTGGTCACAGAGACCAGCCAGGCTCAGCTACGATATCCTGCGTAGACCCAAACAGGGTGGGATATTACTGCCAGATGTACGACAGTACTATGTGGCGGCGCACCTGACACGTATAGTAGACTGGTGCCACAACTCCCAAACCAAACTCTGGAACAATCGTTTGCAGATGTCCCTTTAGCCAATCTCCCCTGGTGTATCACTCCCTTACCTCCACAATTACAATCCCACCCCACCATTGGCCCCACGGTCAAGATTGCACGGTCCATTTTTAAGGGAGGTAGGATCTCTCCCTTTCCTTCACCTCTCACTCCCATTTTAGACAATCCGGCATTCCCACCGGGTATAGGTGCCAACACGTACCCGGCGCTACGGAGACTTGGAAAAGATAAGGCCAAACACTTCCTGACTGACACGACTAGACCTTCAACCAACACTCTCTGCACTAACCCGGATTATGGCCCTCTTGATTTTTGGTCAGCAGTGCGATTGTCCCATTTCCTGCACGCGAACCCCGCAACGAGACACCCTTGTAGATCCCTTACACCATTTGAGCAACTTTGCTCACAAGATAAGCCTTCCCGACACACTCTTTCCCTCTGCTACAGATTGTTGATCCAACCACTGGACCCAGACCACTTGTTGTTTATATCACGATGGTAAGGAGAACTACAGACCAGCTTTACCCCGGAAGCTACGGAGAAGTTACTCACCATTCTTCGATTAGTGATACCAAGAGTTGGGCTATATCCATTGGGTTAATGCTAACCCGAAAGTGGCAATAAACTGGAAGGGGGTCTTCCCCCAACGCAAAGCAAAGAAAGCGTTGTTCACTGCGACAGATAGGTACGTGTAGGTACGCATCTCTGATGTCAATGGAAGCAAGGAGAAACCTATTCATTAGCAAGTGCCTGATGCAACAGCATGGACCACTCTCTCAAGGCCTGTGGGGAAGATTATTTCTTCAATTCTCAAAAGGGATACCGGAGCGCAAGACACTAAGGGACCGAAAGACTTGGTGGGGTGCCGCCACTCCTTGTAGATAAAGTCACCAAAATAAGATATGTAAGCCTAGGTGTATGGCTCCCATACTGAAGCGGAGGGATCCAAGAGGAACTAAGAACATCCTAAATCTTCAGAGTTTCTCTACCTGAATGAATGAGTGCAGAAACCAAGTCCCGTTTCTGAAGCATTGCAGAAGCTGCCATTTCATCCTCACTACCAGACATGTCCAGTACGGAATTCACTGGACTAGAGCAGTCCCAACGCTGTGGAAGCATCCTTCTCCATATCGGACTCCTCCGAGGGAATCAGTGGGGGGGGGGGGGAAATATGTTTTCTAACATTTTTTGCAAGAACGCATGTTCGATGTGCAAAACAAAAAAAAACTGTCCATAACAGGAGTCCTTGTCTTGAAGTCCGTACTAACTGGTTATTCCCTCCACTGTTGGAAACATCTGTGTTGGACTTTGTCTGAATTGATGTTCTGTTTTATACTTTCATAATTTTGAATTTGAGTGATCTGACATTATCATATACGATGTATGTGTCATACACAGTAATTGCCACTTGCGGTGGTCATGATAAAACTTGTTTATTTGAGTCCACATAATGTGATAACGAAATGACAAAACATTAAAACATTTTGAACGAAAGCACCCAAATAGCCGTGGTCCCTAAGGAGGTACAAAGAGTTTGTTTATTTTTGGATGTTCATTAATTGTGTTACTTTTGTTTCTATGACAATCTATTTTTTTCCCTTTTGTTTTAAACTAAGGCAATGGTTTAAATCACAAGTGTTCCGTTTGTGTAGCACTTTGGGACACATACTTGCTGAGTAGACCGAATATTCTGCCAATTAGAATCAATGTCATGTCCTTTTTAAGAGCTGTTCAGCCCACCAACTTCCCACCACCGCCTGTTCACTTGACAATGCCGCTTGAGGCAACAAAATGTGTTGTGGACGCGGAACTCACTCTGCCAACCTGCTATCCTCCTAGTGCCCGAAGGGATGGCTGTCATCAGCAACTGAGATATAATCATCCTCTTGATTTATTTCTAAAACCCGTTTTTCATCACGCTGGTTTAGGTTTGTTGCAGATCTTCCTCCTGACCATACCTACCAGTAGGTGTGAATAAGTGACACGCTTAAAATGTTTATCCTACCAGCTTCTACACATGAGGTCTATGATCCAAGACCATTTGTGGACATTTATGTAGTCTGCTTTTAATTTGCAGTGCCAAACTGACATTACTGGAAGTAATTATCAGTTCACATTGCAACTGGACAAATGTCTTTTGAACGTCAAAGCAACCATTTTGAAAGCGCACCATATTCACTAGTGTGTCTGCTTGGATTCTCCAGTTGACATATTCTATTGAAAGGGCAATTAGGGTAAACTATTGATCTTGCCCACCCAACCCTTGCATTATAACCAAACCTATGAACTGTGATCATACCAACATCCACTGGATGATAGTAGAAGGTGCAGCCTTCTATGATTTAGGCATCTACAATTTTTCAGAATTACATTTGTGTGCAGGTTGCAAGATGATGCAAAATGGTACTGCTTTGCCACTCATAAGAACTTTAGACTAAAAACATTTTTTTTTTTAAAGTGTGTGGGTTACAACCTTTTCTACTTCCCCACTGAGCTACAAATTTTCTTCAAATGTATTGGATAGCTAACCACCAGGTGGTACGTTTGATGAAGTGCTCTATTATTCGAGATATACTTAAGAGGCCATAATTAACTCCATTATTAATGCTGGGAATAGTGTTACGAAACTTACTCTTCACCAGGGAAATGTTTCAGCACAGCAGTTGTTTTTAATTGCTTTTAAACTAATCTGCTTTTTTTGCACTATACATTAATTTTGCTAATAATAATGACCTACCATTGGGTTCATAAGAAAATCTGTCCATCCCCAGGTCTCTCGTTTGATGAAATAGGATGGAGCACCAGAAGATTTCATCTGGAGAGGGTATGGCAACCGGACTACTTCTGATGTTTTGATGTGATTTACATATCTGGCCCTTGGAGAGAGAGTTACAGGAGAGGGTTAGAGAGTTACAGATTCAGTAATATTGATCAAATATATTGCAATTATGCTAAAATAATGCATGTAGAAAATCATATATAGTGTGACACAGTCAAGTTGCAAAATGTAAAAATAGAGTGCCAGGTTAAAAGTAGATATAAACCCTTGTACTAACAGCATTAAGAGGAATTTACCAAGACTGGAGCAGACAGAATGTGGAACAGCTGTGCATTACAACCAATTTCTAGCTTTCATTTCCAAAGCTTAAATTAAAAAGCTGAAGACAGAAGCTGATTAGATACTATGCACAGCTGCTTCAGATTCTGTCTGCTCCAGGTTTAGTTAACTCCCCCCCCACTAATTATGCATGGTTAATGGTTATATTTAATGATTTTGTTTTCAACACTTTTCTTTCAGCTTATTCTCAGTGCTGTGCGCATCTCAGCGACTATAGCTTGCAGATGAGGCTTCATTCCCTTGACGGTTCATATTCTTGCAATCCGTCAAGACATGATAAATGAACTTTTCTCCAAACAGGCTAGGTGCAAGAATTGTCACCCTTTGATAGGTGATGCAAGCAGCTGTACACGGCAGGATCACCAGGTGTTAAAAAGAAATTACGCGCACAGAGACAATAAATTTAAAAGATGGATGGTTTTAGGGCCAGTGTCTACAGGCTTTTGCTCACTTCAGAACTGTTGTCTTCTGCATAGCATGTCAAAAGCGTGCTGCACGTACCCCTTAGCAGGTCTCAAAAAAAGAAGAGCAGGCCTACTTTAATTTATACATTTAATTTTTTATATGTTTCAATGTCACCAAGCAAATCTAGAAATGTAAACCTGTTTAAATCTGTTGTAAATCTAAATTTCAAAATGTGCCCCTTCAATAATGTGGCCTAAATTGCCAGAAGCATAATAAATCTAGATAAAAAAATTGAATGTGTGTTTTAAACTCATTGTACATGGTGGTGAACTGCTGCCTATAGGGGAAATATAGGGGGGTCTAATGCCTATAGGGGGGGTGGATGGGATTAAGGATGCACCGATACCAGCCTTATACTAAAGGGAGATAGCGGCCCTTTACATTTTTTTTTACAGGTTCGGTTGCCTGCAAGATCCAAGACCTCATAATGCCTGTTTACAGCGCTGGCTGCACATCTCCTCCTTCCCGCTGCCTGCACCAACCCGCACAGCCCTGGTGAGACCCGCACAGCAATGGCGAGATCCCGCAGAATCCTGGTCAGACCACGCACAGCTTCCTGAGATGCTGCACAGCCCTGGTGAGCAACAGAGTATGTTGCTTCATATTATTCTGCATTGCTGTATAATGTATTGCTGGGATTTGTAGTCTCTACAGCTGGAGCCATTCCGCATTGCTGTATAATGTATTGAATTATCCTTAGAACAAGAGGGACAGGATAGATGAGGTGGTGATATGGTTTTTTTTTTGGGGGGGGCGCAACATTTTGTTCTGCCCTGGGCACTCTGGTTACGCCACTGCCAGGAGTCTCCCGCTATTAGATAGCGGCTCCCGGCCGCGAAACATTTTCTCCCGGAAAGGTTTAATCTGCTCGATCGAGCAGAGTAAATCTTTCCCTGCGATCGTTTTATTTAACTTTTTTAATTCTGACATCGGAGCCGCACGCCGTAAGTCAGAAAGAAAAAAAAACACCATTGGAATGAATAGCTAGATTCCTATTGGTTATTTCACTTTGCAATAGCCAATAGCAAACTAGCTATTGCACCCGCCCACTGCTGCTGTCAATCAGCAGAGGGGGATCTGCAGTTCTCCATCAGTTCCCCATCTAGTGATTGACAGCAGAAGGTCGGGTGCAATAGCTAGTTTGCCATTGGCTATTGCAAAGTGAAATAGCCAATAGGAATCTAGCTATGCATTCCAATGGTGTTTTTTTGGGGGGGGGGTTTCTATTCTGACGGCGTACGGCACAATAAGGCTGCAACTGTTTAATAATATGTGCTCTACAGGAGAGCTTACAATCTACATATAAAAGTGGGTTGTAATTAATAATAAAAAAAGGTTTGAGTTTTCCTTTGAAAAAAAAATTACTATTTTTATTATTTTAGAAAAAAAAAATATTTTTATCATCTACCTATGAAATCTACATATAAAAATGGGTTGTATATAATTTTAAAAAAATTGAGTTTTCTTTGAAATAAAAATTATTTTTCTCAAAAGAAAAAAAAACAACTCACTTTTTTTATTAATAATTACAACCCATTCTTATATGTAGATAATAAAAAATAGTAATTTTTTCCAAAAGAAAACAAACCTTTTATCATTATTATTAATAAAAGCTGACACCCTCGGCTTGTGTTATATGGTTTGTCATTTTAGCTGTGGTTCTCAACCTGTGGGTCGCTGTGTGATTTCTGCAGGGCTAGGTGGGAGTCCTCCTCAGCCCTCTCCTAGCGCAGCAGTGTAAGTTCTCCCGCCAACGCTGCCAGATCTCGCTGCAGCAGCCACGTTATCCCTAAATTTTACCTTTGGGGGTCACCACAACTTGGCCCTAGAACGGTTGAGAACCACTGCCCTAGTACAACAGTGCAGGACTTTGTTCATCATACTAGTTATGGGAGGAAAAACAAATAAGAAAAATATGAACATAAATAAATAGAGACAAGCAATGGGTATACCAATTTTTATATGGGAAATCGCCCTAGAGCCCAGACATTTCACATAAGCAAAATAAACACCGATTTAGGAAATGTTTTAAAGTTTGTTTGTTTTTTCATTTCCAAGTAATTATACAAAGCAAAACAAGCAGAGCAAATGTGTCCAGCAGCTGAAATACAGTACAAGACTACATCAACATACATTGACACAATTACATACAGACCTCCTCCAATCCTCGCTCCTGTCCACCATTCTCAGCAAAAAAACAAGTATAAAAAGGAGTATCAAGGATTATGTAACAGTGAATCAGTCAGAGGCAGAGATGATATGTTCCAGCCATGAACGCCATATTTTGTTTTCATTTCAAAGCTGGGCTCAACAAATACCTGCTAAAATCATGCCTTAGAAGTGGCCTAACAACCCTCTTATAAATTCAGTCTGCAGTACTACAACTAATTCAAAACAATCAGAAGAACTACTGTTACCAGATGTAGAAATCATATTCATACAGGGAATATGTATGAATGTGAAAGACCTAAATGATGATTGATTTTCTATATTTTAATCTGTCCAAGTGTGGAAATGCAGTATATATGCAGGCATGCAGTAAGCCTGACAGAGCAGACTCCAAGTATAGGTTAAATAACTCTTAGGAATGTCCAAAGAGTAGTTGTGGGAATGTACTTAGCTCTGATCTATTGTAAAATCTAAGATATCTAGATCGATCGATCGAGAATATGGCACCTCAGTATGCTAATATGTAGTAAAAATAGAACTTCATTATGCTAATAAGCATGGACTTATTAACCACTTGCCGTCCGCCCGTTGTAAAAAAACAGACGGACGGACGGTCTCCAGACGGCATTTTTTTTCTGCTTGCGCGCGCCCCCTAGAGGGCACGCACGGGCAGAAAAGACCCGACCAATGCAAACACCCGTTACCAGGTGTTTCACATATAGACGATCGGCGGCTCCATAGTCCGCCGATCGTCTATATGTGCTCGTTTTTCCGCAACCCCCCCGCCGACACCTCACCTGCTTAAAAAGGAGAACTATGGGGTTAAGGCTTTTCCCCTTAGTTCTCCTTAGGGTAACGGGAGGACACAAACTAGCGTCCTCCCGTCACCCTAGGCTCAGTATACCGCGAGGTGTAGCCTTAAAAATGGACCGTGCAATCTTGACCGTAGGGCGGGATTGTAATTGTGGAGTTAAAGAAGTGGTACACCAAAGGGAGATTGGCTAAAGGGACATCTGCAAACGATTGTTCCAGGTCCACCCAGAGTTTGGTTTGGGAGTTGTGGCACCAGTCTACTATATGTGTCAGGTGGGCCGCCACATCTTACTGTCGTACATCTGGCAGTAACATCCCGCTCTGTTTGGGTCTACGCAGGATATCGTAGCCGAGCCTGGCTGGTCTCTGCGACCAGACAAACCACGTGAAAAGCTTTTCGAATTTTACGGGGAAAAAAAGGTGTGGAGATGAGAATCGGGAGGGCTTGAAGGGGTAGAGTAGAGTAGTCTAGGGAGTATAGACTGCTTTAGTATGTTACATCTTCCCATCCACAAGGAAGTATTTTTGGTCCACGCCTCAAGGTCTGCAGTTATGAGCTGCAGAAGCGGAGGGAAGTTCAACGTGAATGTTTGGGATATATCTTTGGGTAGGAGGAAACCCAGATATTTAATCGCGGTCGGTGCCCATTTAAAGGGAAAGTTGTGGAGAACTCTCGGGAGGCATGGTCCCACAAGGGATACATGGAGTGCCTCAGATTTATGGGAGTTTATTCTAAAATTTGAGAGGTCTCCATAAATACCAAATTCCTGGAGAAGGGCAGGAATAGAGATATCTGGGGAGGACAAGAAAAAAAAAAAGGAGGTCATCCGCAAAGGCTGCGATTTTGTGATGGTTAGTCCCCTCCATCACACCTCGGATATCTGGGTTAGCTCTGACAGTACATAGGAAAGGCTCTAGGGACAGTACAAAAAGGACTGGGGAGAGGGGGCAACCCTGGATGGTCCAGGACGAGATTAAAATCTCCTCCCAGGATCACTATACCCTCCCTGAACTCCGACAGGTGGTTCAGTACGCGCTCAATGAATGAAATCTGATGGTTAGGGGCATAAATATTGGCCAGGGTTATTATTTGAGAGCCAACAGTACCCTTATTTAAAAAAAAGGACCCAAACTTCCTCTCCAGAAAACTGGTCCAGTAACAACTATGGTACAGTGCGAGAGAGTAAAATACTTACTCCTCTGGATCTCGTCTTGTGAACCACTATGGTATATGACCGGGTAGGGCTGTAGATAATGTGTTTTCCTG